TCTTGGCTTACAAAACAAACAGGTCTGAGTCGTTAGTTCAGTTGCGTTTGTAGATGTTCTAGTAAAGTATTTGTTGGGGGCAATAAAATGTACTGAGTGTTCTGGTTTTTCTTTATTACGCTAGGTGGAGTTTAAAGGCTTAAGCGGACCAATTGAATTTAAAGAAGGCAAACGGATCCGATTCAAGCTGGATCTTTTGAAGCTAAAACAGCACGCCATGGTCAAAGTGGGGGAATGGCATCCTGGTATGGACGTGAACATTACCGATCGAAACGCCTTCTTTGACCATGGATCCATGAATGTTACTTTAGTGGTAACCACCATTCTGGTAAGTTGGTAGAGCCTCCTCGCGTTTCGCAACGTTGCGTGACTTACCATCATCAGGAAACTCCTTACGTCATGATGCAGGCAGGCAAAAACTTCACTGGTAACAACCGGTTCTACGGTTTTTGCATTGATATCTTAGAACGGGTGTCGCAGGAAGTGGGTTTTGACTATTTGCTTGACTTAGTCCCTGATCGAAAGTATGGGGCTTTTAATCCGGAAAGTGGAATCTGGAATGGGATGGTTCGGGAACTTATGGCCCATGTATGTACTTTTGGCTAACTCCCGAAGCCAGTACTGTTCCGAACGCTAGTAAAGCACCTTTCAAATAATGTAGATATCGAGCAGAGCTGAGCAGACTTGCACATGAGCTTTGTACCTAAATTTCGATGATAGGGCGCCCAATCTACAGCTGGAAAACACCACTTTTGCACACTTCAATTTGTTTTTGCTGTCGCTGATAAGCGATTTTGCGTTTATTCCCGACAATAGCAGAGCCACTAAAGCCGAATGCACTTGGCATTAAAAAAGGAGGCAAGTGCCAAGCGCCAAAGGGGCCATTCTGCAATGTGTGCACGATTATTATAACATAACAGTTTCGTTGGATGATAAAATATGCGTATGAGAGATAAAGAATCAAATTATACTGAGCCGTTTATGGAACTATAGGAATCGGTGTTTTAACGAAATGAAACTTTGGAGTTCAAAGGTGATTTTTTGCAGATCATTTCCAACAGGGGCGTTGAAATTCTTGAAAAAATCACTAGTGGTGTTCCACGTTTTCCTAATAACTCTTGATCAACAGGAAGTTTAAAATATTTTAACTTTAACGTCTTTAACAGACAGAAAGTTCCAGGCCAGTAACTTCTAATAAAGACAACGAGATAAATATCTTAGCCTAGTTTTGTGCTCAGAACTTGCGTGCAAAAGATCGTCTTCTGAACTACGAAAAAATCATGCTTATTCAACAGCAAGAAAACCTTCCTTTCTATTTGCTTCTTATAGAAGTAATTGATTATTGCTAGTGCCAAATCGGCCCCTTTGTAGGAACAACCATACGTAATGCTAAAATCTTCACCCTCACCCCAAAATCACGAACGTTACGAAGGCTTTTGCATCGACTTGTTGAAAGAACTCGCCACAATGGTAGGATTCGAGTACAGAATCGAACTGGTTCCCGATGGAAAATACGGCGCCATCGACCTGGAAACTGGAGAATGGAACGGTATAGTTCGACAACTTATGGATAAGGTAATGGATAAACGGTAGATTTGCAGTGCTGAAAATGCACGGAAAGTGGAGAATGTCTAATAAATTCGCTGCGCTCGACTACGTATTCAATAAATGCAAGCATTTTCTATTAACTGAAATCGAATTAAATGGTTCTAGAAAGCGGACTTGGCAGTGGGATCGATGACGATAAACTATGCCAGAGAAAGTGTGATTGACTTCACTAAACCGTTCATGAACTTGGGAATCAGCATATTGTTCAAGGTAAGTT